CCTGCAGTACCTCAAGAAAAACACAATCAACCGTCTACCACGCAAACAAGGAAGAGGAGGAAACCCATAGCATTGGGAAAATACTCCACCTAACCCATCCACACTCTGCAATGGGTTAAATCTCGTCTCCTGACCTTCTTCTCTTGTAGGATTTTGACAAACAAGATGCTCACTGGGCCCTGTCTGGTGTTAAGTGCCCCAATTCAGGTGCCTCTGATGGTTTAGGGAAAAATATTAGTTATACTTTACCTACACTAAACTTGTTAAACCAGAATACAACTGGCTCCCTACTGCAAAATGTGCAAATAAAAGGGGAAAAAAGAACTAACCCTAACACTATCAATAACTTCCATTTGTTTACTATAAACTGTGAAATATTATCAGAGGAAAGTAATCTGAAATTAGAAAAGGTGGCTTTAAACCTTGTGTGTCTCTGAGATTTTCCAGTCCAGTAGTATCCACTTGTTCACCCCTTCTAGATTATCTTAATGTTTACAAAGCAAAAAAAAGTTATTTCAGTAATATTTTCTTAGATTTATTAGCTGATTAGGTAGAGATGATGGTTCCCTCTCATTAGTTCACAACAGAATCGCCCCTATTTTTGAAAAAGAAAGTGAGCACCATGTAAAAACACATTTCTTCCCGCTTCTCTATGTACTCTGCCAAATCTAAGCAAGGAGATCTGTAAGACGCTGCTATATTCCCCACCAGAAAACGTTACCTTACGTGAAATTCCTTCAAAACACAACTTTAAAGGAACTGATTTCCACTCCAAGTACTTTCCCCAAATAAATTTACTGCACTAGACCGAAGGCTGGAATATCATGTAAGTCATATATTACTTCGACCTCAATAAATCTCTTCTTGGTCTCCCAACCCCAGCCTGCTTTCTAAAATAGTTCACTAAAAAGCACCAACCTAATTAACAGCAGCTTGCCCTGCAAGGCAGGCCTTGATTTCGCTTATTTACACATTAACTGCAGCCTTCTCTTGGCCAATCCAGTCTATCTCTGTACCGTGCCGAGCCTTTTATCTGCCCTGGACAGCATTTTCTCCAGCAGATGAAGTAGATGCCGATTGATTTACTGTCGAGCATGGTAAATTAATAGCAACAAATTGCTGAGGGCCCGTCTCTCTGCTCCACCATGCTTCGGTAGTTGTGCTTTATTTGCTCCATGATGGGCAGCAGTCGGCCTCTTCAAGTCAATTTCTTCTTAACAACCTGCAATACTTTTCAATGGTGAAAATAGAGCTGTTCCTTGTAAGTCAGAAATCAATATCCTATTGCCCTTAGAAAATGCTAAACAAGCAGTATTGGCAATCCACTTGGTACTAGAGGGTATCAGATATAATGCAAATCCATACTGCTTCCCTCCTTGTAGTTATTACAGTTTGCTAAAAGGTTCCTAATGTCATTTATCATCATTTACTATCGACCAGAGAGGCTATGATTATGATATCCTATCAGTTGGCAAGGCCCTTTCATTTCTATTCAATTAATATTTTAGCAGCACTCAAAGGGTTGTGGCCCAAGTCTCATAATGAAATTTACATGGCTTGGAGTTTTCTGGCCTTGATTTTTAAAAAACAACATACACATATGAACATATACACAAATATTTATATGTAAATGTGTAGCAATCACTTAACGGAGCCTACTCATTAGAGATTTCTAAAACTTCTCAATGATTCCTAGAATTCAAGTATTAAGCGAAAAGAATTACAAGCAAAGAAACATTCCGATTACAGGATATTCCCTATAAGCTAGATGGGAAGCACTCTCAGGTTTTGCTTTTCAGAGTCTGCTCTGGCCCTCCCCTGAGTTTCTATGTGTTGAATCCACACAGCTATGGTTTCTAACTCACATCTGACATTCGTTTCTTAGAGCGGTGCTCTTGGCTAGAGAGAGATTCCCTCCACAAAAAATGTCTTTAGATCTCCTAGGCGGAGGCATTGACTGGTAGCCCATCTGCCCAGGATCCCTGACCCATAGGGAAGGCACAGTACACTTACAAAGAACACTCCGCATGAGAATGTAACAACTAAACCCAGGGCTAACTGTCCCATCCAGAAAGAAAAAAAAAAAATCCTATAAAATACTTAGGGAACCCCTGGGGAACAAAGGCCAATGTTTCTTCATTTTGAAAAATTCCATTGACATCCCAGTGAGACCTGTACCACTTTTAGCCAAGCCCTGATGGTCATCTTCGGTTTCACACTAAACCTCAAGACAGTGGCCAGGTACTAATCTTCCCTGTACCCTCCAGCACACCGACCCTAACTGCCCTGGGGTTTCCTCCCAGCTTCATCTGCTCAGCTCCATCAATGCCATAAAGATTAGCCGGCATTAGATCCACATTTTATGCTCTGGTCCAGGGTCGTGTCACAAGTGCCCCTTAAAAAAAAAAAAAAAACACCACTAATTCTACCACACTAATGCTATTTACTCAGTTACCAAAATTTAAATTAATTATGTTCTCAAACATAATTGTTAAAAATTGGCAACATTATGCAGGCTTAATTAAGATTAAATCCAATTTACTAAATGTACTTTAATTGGTACTAATTACATTAGCTTTCATTTCAGAATGACAAATTCCCCATAGGTTTCACTTTATAGCTCTCTATCAGAATCAACACAGGGTGACCAGGATGAGCAAGCATCACAGGAGCAGAGGTTAGGGGCGAACAGGACTCCACTCTGTGGCTGCTTCACACCCTCCCCTTCTGGCAATCCGCTAAGTCACAGAGTCATGGCTCCATCACAACCACTACACTCTGTTCCAGTGAAGAATTTCTCTACAAATGCATTCTCTATAGCTGGCTCCGGCCAGGAAGAACAGAGGTGTTAACTAAAAAACACACAAAGGTCTCAAATATCAGAGCCACTGATTAGTAGGGCACTTCCAAGGGCTCCTGGGACTCCTGCTCTTGAACCCTTCAAGACACAAATCTAATAGTGAGGAAGCCTAACCCGATCTGGAGAAGAGGAACTCTAACCCAGGCTGATGACTCCTCTGCATTACCGCTGCTTCCCATTTACAAGGGGATCCAGCCGGCGCATCTGGAAGGGAAGCTGAGAGCAACAAGGCTGCCTGCCCAGGAAAGCAAATAAAGACAGATAGGCCTCTCTGCGTAAGGGGGAGAAAGAAAGAAAATATAATAAGTAGGTGGTTTGCAGGGCTGTCTGTATTTCATAATGTGATAAACTGCCCTCAGGATTCTCGATGTGATTGAATTTAAAAGCAAGAGAAAAAAAAGGAAAATGTACTCTTCTCAGTTTTAAATGGGCAGCATTTGAGGCCAGCTGGACAAGAAGCTGACAGAATTATTGAGATAGAAAATGCGTAAAATTAAGGAATCTCACGTGCCCCCCATACTGTGTTTCCACATGAAAAACACAGGCCCACAAACTATGTGTCGTGCACAAAAATGTAGACGGCACAAGATCTGGAAACTAGGAACACAGAAACAGAAATAAAGGGGCATTAATCATCTGAGCCAATCTTTCTAAAACATTAATTTTGTTGGAGTGGCGGGGCCCAGGGATAAGGACCAAAAACAAAATAAAAGGAAGAAAAATGACATAAACGAAATCCAGACCTAAAAATATGCATAATGAAGATAATTAACAACAGTATCTTTCATGTAATTTATTTCTATAAGGTATACCTAAGTTTAAATAGGTTTTGTCTAAGCAGGAGACACGTAGATTACTAAACAGAAATAGCAAGGCTGCCAAAATAAGGGTTTAATTTTCTATGTGGTATTGAATGTAACACACGGCCTGCAGGCTCTACTGCACTGGCATATCCAGCAGTACACGGGGTAAAACAGTGTCTGAAATTACAAGTCCTCAGCGGAAGGACTTTTCTTTCTCCCCAACTTTTTGTCTTCTCTGTTTGCCTTTATGATCTAACAAGCATTTTTCAAAGATCAATTATGTACGTAGGCATGTTCTGAGCAAGTGGTGAATAATTCTACACAGAAAAAGGAATCTATAAATAGTAAAAGTCTAATACTGTGTGATTAGTTCGGATTTTCTAAGCCTACAGGATGGTATCATCCATCTTGGTCATAAATAAGATGTGAAAATCAGGAAGGTTTCCTTTGCCTTTTTCCCAGCAGGCAAGCACATATACACCTATTGTGAAACGGTTGTTCAGATCGGAAGCATTTCTAAGAGATCATTAAAAATAAATGCTTCCAAGAGGAATTAGAATTGCCAGACAGTATTTTATATTTATGCCTTTTATACACATGTGCTATCTTTTCTGTCTATGAAACTTAAGCCAAATCACTTCATTTAGTTGCTTGCAAAAAAAAAAAAAAAGCCTGCTTGAATCATACCTCTCAGTACTCTCTGAGTAATCATGACCTTTTTTTTTTTCCCCTTCTGAATTAATTGCTTGATTTCAAGCCCCAGCTTCCCTTCTATCAGGTTCATTTGCTCTGAACAAATTTTAGAAATAGTGATGGTTAGAGTTTGTGTAAGACCCAACTAAGTAGCCTGTGGGACCTGTGCAGGGATTTGACATCAGTTTCTTGTGCAGCTCACAGATTTCATTTCACTTCTATCAGCTCACCCTCTCTCCATTCTTTCACACCGAGCCAACAAAAGCCATACATTTGCACAATTTTTAAGACTTTCTAAGAAAAGCTCTTTCACAAAACAAGTTTTAATGTCCAAACCACACAGAGCAACTCCTACAAAACAAAAGCCAGCTATATTTTAAAATTTAGTTATCCAGCTTTTGAAAGTGTCAGAGTTTAATATGCATTCAAATGTTTTAAAATAACATTTTAAATGATTGAATTTAGGATAACACAGATGAAATGTGAGGAACCACCTGTGAAAAAATAGTGCTCTAATACCCAGTCTTTAAAATACAGGCAGCCACAATGATGCACAAAAGAAAACTATAAAATATATAATTTTCCTTTCAAAATATACCAATATTATGCTCATTTAAAATAGTCATAAAAACATAATAACTTACCTGCTTGTGCATTTCTATATTCAACCCATAGGACATTTCATAATACTGTCAAAGAAAGAAACATAATTAAATTTCTGCTTTTCATTAAATAATCTCCCTAATTTATTCTAAATGCTTCAAGTATATTTGAAACAAACATAAGAGCCTGATCTAAACTAAATAATCATAATACCTATGTTAAGAAATCAAGAGGAATATTCAAATAAAATCTTTGGATTAATATACTAAAAACCATTTACGGACTAAGACTCTGAAAATAACTCACAAAACTCAGAAAAATTATGTTCAAATAGGTGTTCTTAACATCTCCAGTTGTCTTAACATACCACTAACAAATGAATAAAAAAAAATGAAAATTCAGTACCACAATTCTCTAATTCCTAGACACAATGGAAATTTGCCTTGAAACTCAGTGCTTGGAAAGAAAGGTTGAAAAGGTGATGCTAGGTTAAGAGTTTAGTTTCTCGTTTTTAGTACACTGCTCTTAGTCACACATTCAAAGTAAAACACTTGATAGCAAATGAACCAGTGAATTATCCCACAGTCTTGAGCAATCATAAAAGTACGCTGCATGACACTTCTAAAGCAGACCTACTTTTTTTGTACTTTTAGTATAACTGGAATTTATATAGAAATTCTAGTAGAACAAAATCAACATTCCTCAAACCAATGTAACACCATAGAAATTAAAAATACACATACAAATACAAGTATAGTAGTAACATAATGAGAAAAAATTGAAAAGAGGTTTGGTGTCTCTGTCATCTTTTAAAAGAAGACATTAAAAATTTAAGAGTATATTGAAAAGCTGCTTAAAATGGTTTGGTGCAAGAGTAATAAAACAACAAAGAAAACCACTAACAAAAACATTTTGCTTGTGACTAAACAAACCATCAACTTGGTTTTTGTTATTTTTTTTCCCAGTCTGCAAAAATGTAGCACAGAAAATTATACCCCATGCAGTCGAACTTTGAAAATTCAAATGAAAGCTGGTTGTCAAAGGCAAGTTATAATAACACCCTAGCATTACAGGTTGCTAATGAACACATTCCAGCAACCCAGACAGCCCTGGCAGGACGAGGGATCAACCCTGCCCTCAGCCTCCAGCAATCTGAATGCTGGCTGCTCCGGGGATTTCAAGCTAACCGGCGCTTGGAGCTGGTGCCACGGTTCTCTTACCATGACATAGTGCCGCTGCATCTCGGTCTTCTCACTGGCAAGCTTCTCACATTCCAGCTTCAGACTGTCCAAGACACAGCATAATCTGAGTACAGTGCAGAGCTTAGCTTACACCCTCCAAAAGCAAACACACACTTCCTCCTGCAAAGCATCACCTACCAACACCAAATCATCAGTCTCCACCACCTCATTAAGGAAAGGCAGGGGGAACTAGGGAAGGCAACTAGAACCGGCCTGGACTTGCCCCTTGGATATGGACCAAACAGCGGGTATTCGGAGGTTCTGGCTTTTTTAAGGTAAGTTTTTAAAGAAACAAACCAGCTAATACATTTAATTCTGGGACTGCATCCAGAATTGAATATTCATTAAACTCACCTAATAAAGGAACAACAAACTAAACATCAAATAATAACTACATATACAAGCACAAGTCCCCCAAAATGTCACAAGGGCGTTCTTTTTTTTTTTTTTTCCTTTAATGTTCCACGGAGATTAATGAAAACTCGAATCAAGCAGACTTATGAATGATGTCTTGTTTTTTATTCTAAAACACACAGACAAGTTGAATACCACCACCCAGGGGCAAAGTGGTGATCGGTTCCGAGGCTTGTTTCGCCTCTTGCGTTTATGAAATAAGAATTACGCATCATTATAAAAGCACACACAAGAAAAACGTTTCAAAGGCACTCTAAGTCTCATAATCGCCTTGAAGATGAAAACAATTTTTTTTCCAGAATAAAGTAATGAAATCGCTCACTCCGATACTTCCCAAGGCTCTCAGCTAGCCAGCGGACCGGCAGAGAGAAGTAAGAAATCAAGCCTAGAGTAATAAAGAACCAAGAAGTCCAGAGGCCCTAGAATCTTCCTGACCTCCTGTTCTCCGGCCCCAATAAATCAATATCGAAAGTTTGGCCTCAGCGTTTTCCAAGTCTCCCCAGTTTCGATTGTTCTGCCTCGGTTTTTATTTACGGGAGAAGAAAGAAACGCTTCATTTCTTTACACCTGCCTAAGGGAAACAGGCCTTGACTTTCCCTTTTGGCCCACAGGAAAAAAATAATAATACTAATACCTTTGCGGTAGCAAAAAAAAAAAAAAAAAAAGAGGTGGATGTTTGTGTGTTTGTGGGGGGCAGGCGACAAGAGCTCAGCAAACAGAAAGATCAGCTAAAGTCAACATCGTTACCTGTGGTACTGAGCCTGCAAAAACTGAAACTCTTCCTTAATCCGATCGCAGGACTCGGAAATGGTAAATTTAAAGGGTTGAGCAGGCTGATGCGGTGCCTAAAGAACAACAATAAAATATTTCATTAGCCCACAGAGCAGCCAGGCAGGGCGAGGGCGCAGGCGGCGGGGCCAGGGGCGGGGGCGGGGAGCGGGCAGCGGGGAGCGGGCAGCCGGGAGCGGGCAGCGAGCAGCGGGGAGCGGGGAGCGGGCAGTGAGCAGTGGGGAGCGGGGAACGCGCAATGGGGAGCGGGGAGCGAGCAACGGGGAACGGGCAGTGGGCAGCGCTGCCCACCCGCAGCCGCAGCCGGCCCGTCGGGGGTGCCCGCGCCATGGCGTCGGGCCGCGCTCAACCCGGCCGAGGGCGCAGCGCCCGCTCCCAGCGCCGCCGCCGCCGCCGCCGCCTCCCCGCCCTCCCTGGCGACCGCGCCTCCGCCCCCGCCTCCGCCTGCGCCCCGCGCCCCCGCGGCCGCGGCCTGGGGCTCCGCGACAACAATGAGAAAATGGCTCCAAGTCCGCGCCGCCCGTGCTCACCGGGTGCCGGGTCTGCGGGTACATCTTGCTCAGCTCGCGGATCATCCACGCCGTTCAGCTGGCTGCGCCCGGCAGGGCGCGCGGCGCATTGGCCTGGGCGGCCCGGGCGGCGGGAGCGAGGACGGCCGGGGCCGGCGGGGAGGCGGCGCGCTCGCAGGGGACGCGGTGCGGGCGGCGGCGGCGGCGTCACGGGCCCGCCGCGGGCAGGGTCTCCTGCCGCCCCGCTCCGTCCGCCCGGCCCGCCGCGCTCGCCCGGCCCGCCGCGCAGCGCCAAACTTTCTTGCTTCGTCTTTGAACCGGCGCCGCGGCTCCACACGGAGGTCCGCCGCTCGGCGCCGCAGCACACAAACTCCGCGCGCCGAGGTTCCCGCCGGGCTCCGGGGCTCTGCAGGTCTCTCGCTCACGGCGACGGTCGTCTACAGGGCACCTTTGCGCTTCTTGTGCCACATCTCATTTCCTTATTTTTCTTCCTTCCTGTTTTCTTGTCTTTTTTTTTTTTTTTTCTTTGCTGGTAACCCCAATTGAAGGGAATTGTAAAAATGAGTGAAACGCTTGCGGCTTTTTTTTTTTTTTTTGAAGTCTCTCCTTTCAAACTCCGCGAACACCACCTCAAAATAATCTGCAAGTGTGTAAGGGGGGGAAGAAAGCAGCCAACAGCCCAAACACCCGCTCGAACAGCTCTCACAACACGCTCTGTGTAGGTGACTTCTTTGACCAAATTTAGCAGCAGCTAATCATTAACATTCTGATACATATTCACCACCGGCGTCCGGGAGACCGCGGAGCATCCCGGGAGATGTAGTCCTCCCCGAGCGACCGCGGCTGAACCGGCCGCCAGATTGACTACAACCACCGGCCGGCCAAGCGACCACTCCGGCGCGCTCTCCAAACGCCCCGCCCTCCCCAGGCGTGGTAGGCGCTTGCAGCAACCAATCAGAGGTGGATGAACATTAATCGTCGTTCTGTGTTACTGCCCATCATTTCACTGCTGACAAATTGTAAGCCTGGAGGGAGGAGCCGAGCGGCTGGAACCCACGTGGGGGCCGGGCGTCGAGTGTGGCTCCGACCAATGAACGGAAACAAATGGGTTGGCGGGGGCGGGGCGGAGACGGCCCGCCCAAGGCGGAGCTTAGCCTTGGTTGACGTTGCTTAGCGCGAGCGTTCGAACCTGGGAAACATTTGTTCAGCTGTCAATCAAAGTAACGTGGGCCCCGGAGCAGGGCGGCTGCCTCTGCTGCTGCCCCGGACGCATCTTCAGAGCTAGGCGGCAGCGGCGGGGAGAGGGCGGAGGCACTAGGTCCGGAGCCTGCCGGTGTAGTCCTGCTGCACCTCCCCGCCTGGTCTCCCGGGGCTCGGCGGGGCCGCAGCCGCCAAGACCCCGGGGCCGGAGGCCGCGGCCTGGACTCCGAGCGGGAGCGGGCGCGGGCGGCCCGGCCAGAGGAGGCGCCCGGGATCGCCCTCTCTCGACTCGGGAGGCGCGGCCTTCAAGCCTGCCAGGCCCGGCGCCGGGGTCCGACACTCCACTGGACCCCGCTCCCCTCCAGACCCTCTCGCCTTTGCGCTCAGAAGAACCCGAAAAAAGTGCAGTAGGGAATTAGCTAGTATGAGTGGGTGCAGACGTTCATTTCTGAGCATCCTTTTCTGCTTGAGATCTTGGTTGTGCTGAAAAAAATGAAAAAACATTCGTTATTGTAACGATGCCCTTTTCTTGGTGCGAGAACTAATGATTCAGTGTTCAACCAGGCGCATCCTTGGACTCCCTGCGAGCCCGCCATGGAGGAGGACTTCTATAGAGCCTGGCTGCCAGGTCTTCTGTCCCAGTCTCACTGGAAGCTAAGAACCTGTACCGCCAAGTATTTCAATCCTGCAAACTGTTTCTCCTCTGACCACAAAGTACTAAGTTTGAGGAGTCCTCTGGAAGTTTTCTGCACCCTCACGGCCCTACCTAGGACCGTGACTGTTGAAATATGGCCAGCCCTAAATGAGATGCCTTTGAGTACACGTAATGTTGAAGAATTAGTAAGAAAAAATGAGGTAATTCAACAACTTATGATGATTCCATACAAACTACATTTTTGACGTATTAGTTAAATACATTTTAAAATCATTTTGTCTCTTTTCTTTTTACTTTTCTAAGCTGGCTGCTAGAAAATTTAAAATTGCTCTATATGCTCAGATATTTCTATGGGACAGCACTATTCTGAGATATTCCCAAGAATCGAAAGTTAGATTACATGAGACTCTAGGACAGTGAGCTTTCTAAGAACAACGATCTCATTTTATTCTGAGGTTGGTTATTTGCTCTTACTGGAAATTTTCAGCTCTGTTAAATCACTATAATGCTTGTGTGGGAAGTTCCATGTTGTCTACTTTAGTCAGAATGTTAGCTAGATCTGTAAGAATAGGGAGTTGGTTGTATATAAGGCTGCACTCCAAATGCCCAGAATGATGACCGACCCATAGTTGGTGCTTAGTAAATATTTGCTAACCACATTAATGAATAAGTGCCACCTTATATCAATATAAAAAGCTTCTGCGTCATTCGGGCCATATTTATTGAAGTTCTGTGCAGTTAATTCCCAGGATAGGAAATAAGAATTCTAATTGTAGAACCTAAAGAGCAGAGGGTCAGTGAACAAAGATACTTTGTTCTGTTTGGATCCCATAGCTTAGTGTAGCTTTCTCCTAATACTTTCTGAAAGGTTATGTCAACAGAAGGGAGACTAAAAACATCAGGGTGTTTCTTTATTTTTTCAAGTACAGTAGTAAATGATAGCCTTTGGATAGGGTTCCTATTTGGCCATGGGGCAGCCCTGAATAGTCCACAGCAGTGTCCCAGGAAGATGGCCAGTGGTCCAGCCCTTACCCAAATCAGGAAGTGGTGGGTCTCATGGCTGCTTTTGTGTCTTCTGCTATCTGCCTGTGCTTCTCTCATTATACTTGTTACAAACTCTTGACTCACTTGTGAAGTTATCTGGAGACTTGTCTTATTCCTACCACAGACCTGGGCAACGTGGTGTCCAGAGTTTTCACATGGGAAGGGCATGGCAGTCGCTATTCCTGTTGAAACATAGGCCTGGGTGAGGGTGGGAGTCCAAACGGAAGTGATACACACCAAGCAGGAACACTTTTCTGTCAGTTTAGATGTTGCAAGCCATTTATTACTTCATCAAATATTTATTGAATGCCTGATATGTACCAAAATATGGAATTTAACAAATATGGCTATTAGTCATTTCTTGCTTCTTAAATCTAAACTAACCATGTTTGTCTGCTCAGTGAAAACGGATCTGGTCCCCTTTAAACATTTTCTAGTGGCTGCAAAAGCTTTGTCAATAAAGAACACCAGTGAGACATTGCAGAGGAATGATTTGGTTGTTGGTTCTGGTATGCATGCTGGATGAGTACCTTAGGCACAAGTAGCAAGCAGTAGTACCTTTCAGCTTCCTCCAGAACCTCCCTTTAATGCTTTTGGAGTGAGCATCACTGAAGAGATTTCTCTTGACACTCTAGTGGATGGACCTCTAGCAGGATCTGGAGGCTGAGTGTCTGGCACAATCCAGAAGACAGGTCTTCAGAGCAGTCCACCTGTTATTCAGAGAGCTGATGTGCTCTCTTTAGCAAGGTCCAGAAGAGCTCAGCCCTACGATCTGGGGCAACTCTTTTATGAATACTCTGTCTCAGTCCTAGTGGTGGTTACTGCTCCTTACATCTGCTATTTCTGTATGTTCTAGAGTTTTCTTCTTACCAACTCCTCCCTGCTCTCACACCTATTATTATAAATAATAATCTTGTAGTTAGAACTTGTTCAAATTATATTCTCTCCATATTGCACCCAGATGGGTGGAGTAAACAACATAAGCCCAGGGTTACACTCCCATAGAGACAGAGTGAGAAGTGTTACAAGAGTAGATAAAGCCCCGGGGTAGCAGTCAGCAGAGTGATGAAACTGCTTCGTAGAGAAGGTAGTGGGAGGCTTCTCAGTGGAGGGGACATGTACGCAGATGCCTGAACGCCAAGAGAGAGAGAGTCAATCGTAGAAAGCATCACTGAGAAACAAGTTTCAGATGCTGCAAAGGTCCCATTTCAGGAAGTCCTGGTAACTATGAGAATTTTTAAAAGACCAGTGTGTTCCATGGGAATAGTAATATGGCTAAGTCATGTCCACATCTGTGGGTCTTGATCACCTGGAGCTTCTCACAGCTGATAAAGACATTTGTAGATGTCCTTTTGTAACACTGGAGATTGACTCCATCCCTTGCACATGGTAGGCAAACTCCATAACTTTGGGCTACATTCCCAGTCTATTTTAAATCTTATTTTGAGGCAGGCTTTTGCTTAATTTCCCAGGCTGACCTTGAACTTGGGTCCTCCTGCTTTGGCTTCCTGAGTAGGTGAGATTATAGGTGTGTGCCACTATTGCCAGTTATGGTAGTTGTTTTCTATTTTGAATATAGTGGAAAGATGTCGTGGGAGGAGAAAAGGTCTGTAGCCAGGGAGTGAAGGGATCATTACAGGTATCAAAATGGTCGCAAGGTACCCACATTCATTCTTGACATAAAAGACTAAATGTATTTTGGAGGCATTGATCTGTTCAGAGGCACACACCCACCCTTTCCACCCACACACATGCCTGGCTCTGTATAGTTCTACCCCACTGATGAGTGACGGGCAATGTTACTCAAGGGTAGAGGTAACCCACACAAGTAGGGAGTGCCAAGCTCTGCTGTGAATAGACAGCCAGAGCACCAGTAGTCACAGAATATCAAGTGCATACGGATCCTTTTCTAGATCAGCAAAAGATTTGCCCCATCCCTGGTCAACCACCACGCTCCTCTGTAATGACGCGGAGATAACTGGGCACTGTACCCTTTACTAGCACATTTAATACATCGATCTCCAAATATTGTCAGTTTTCTAGACCTGGCAAGAGAGAGCGCTATCTTTGCCAGTTGTTTCTGTGTGCCATCTTTGCGTTCAGGTGATCCTTCTTCGTTTAGCAGATACAAGATAAGAGGCCCTCATCACCTTTGAGGTGTAGGGAATCGGTTTGACATGTGGTAGACAGATTTGTGTCAGGAGATTTCTGGGAGAAAACCTTCTTCATGGAAATGCTGCAGTTTTTTAATCCCTAGAGGTTGTCCTTGGTTAAGTCTTCTGGTAGAGAGGAACACAGTCCTCTCTCTTCCCTCTCAGGGACTGGTGTGCAGGCAAAGTGTCATGAATGTGGGGAAGGATGGTCTGGAAGTCACTTGGAGCAAGCAAAGGGACCAGGGACCCTGGCTTACTAGCGGTGATATGGAGGCAGAAGTATAAGTCTTTCTCATTCCAAAAGAATTCTTGGTCCAAGACAGAGATCCCCTCTAGCTTAGTCACTTAGCACTAAGGGGATATGTGTGGTTGTAAAGGTCAATGAAGCCTCCCTGTCATTAATGGTCCTATACCATGTCAGCAGTAGCTCTGAGAGGTTAAAGGACTCTTAAACTTTCTGCTAATCTGACCAATTGTCTTGAATAGTTAAAAAGAAATGTTAGTTAATTTATGCTGTGTGCTGATCAAGCACATCATTTCTAAGGGATACATTGTTAGATAAAACCGCTTTCCCTGAGCAAAGCTCACCGTACCTTTCCTTTTTTGCAATCTAGAAAGGAACTTGAAAAGATTTTGTTCCATCCTCCTGCTTTTAAACAAATTGTTTCCACTTTAAAGATTAATCAATTGAGGCTCAGAAAGAAGTACATCATCTGAGGTTTTGTGGCTTGAAAGTACCGAAGGGGAGATTGTCTCTTAATTTCTTGTTTTGTACCTTGAGTAAACCCAAATTCCACACTTAGTATTCAACAAAAGTAGGTAATTTAAGTGCAACTCAAGATTCTTTTCTGTTTTACTTCTTTTCGGCAGATGCTTTATTGCTGAAGTGGTGGTATCTGGGTGAATTGAGGAGGAATGGCTGTGTTGCAGCTACCTCTGGGCAGAGGCTGACCATTGAGGGTTCCCTCAGCCACAGACCTCACCCCCCTGCACGAGCATCTGAAGGTGTGGTAAGTGAAGGGCAGGGGGCTGAGCAGAGCTGAAGCTCCAGTGCACTTCCTGTCTGCAAACACCCCTTCCTCCACACAGCTGGGGTTGCTGTGCCTGCTTGCCCGATTGCACTCTTGCTGGCTACCAGAGAGCTTGCAGGGCAGATGTTACAGGGGCAAGGCTATGTATTTACTCGAAATCAGGGCATATGGAGAGGGGGTAGGTGTAGGGAAATACAGCTAAATACTGTATTGCTCTATGTGAGAAAAATAATTGATTATATTTTCTTCCCACTTTTTTAAAACTTCCCTAAAAATGACCTCTCGAAAGGCAGGCTGCTTTGGAGAAAGAGGCTGCCAACACTTTTTGTTGATATTCACTAGACTAGTTGTTTTATAAAGTGATCTAAACTGTAAGAGTATATAATCTTAATGCTAGTACAGTGTGGGCTCCACTGCCACTATTCAGTTCAGTACGTAGCCTTGGTATAATATTTTATCACTTGGATTCTGGGGGATCTCAAGACTCCCTTTAATAGCAACCCTTGCATGATAGTATGAACGAGGCATCATTTGCAGTGTGGTAACGAGTCCACTGTGGGGCTACTTTTAGAAAAGACTGATATTTCGGGAGACGGTCATTCATAGAAACACCTTCTACCTCTACTGCTTTGTTTTATACAGAAAAAATTTAAATGTTTTCATTATACATTTTTTAATAAATATGTCCTCAGGAGAGAACTTGTTTCTTTCTAGACCATAAGCACTTACATATCACTCCTATTACTTCTGCTAATATACGAATGCATCAACAGATGGACAGATTGCATCGACAGATTGATAATCCTCATTTTATAGACTAGAAAACTGAGGTTCGATAAAAACATTGACTATACAATTAGTTTGCAAACAATTTGGGAATCAAACTTGAGCTTTCAAAATTTACTTCTTTCTATCCCACCAGTGCTGTCTTTTAATGTCAAATAAGTGTAATGCCTTGTGGCCTACATGGTGCCTTGGCTTTACAGACTCATGTTAGGCAAGAAAAGCAGACCATTTTATAGAAGTGAAAGCTGACACAGAGGATGCTCATAGCCCTGTCTTGTGAGTGTGCATAAATACAGGTATGTATCAGCTCTACAATTTAAATTTCTTATGTAAGCCTTGTGGAATAAGTATGATTTAAAATGTAAATATATTTACAGTTAGAAAATATATGGGAACATTTTATCAGTGTAAGCTGTATGTCGGCTAATTGGATGTCTGCCTCTTCCAGCCTGCTGGATTTCTTGTTTTCATAGCTTTAAACAAGAATGATTCACCACCAACCCATGTTTGATCAGAAACCCAATACCCTTCCTAGTAGCTTCAGGAATTCTGGGAGGCCTCGGTTTCTATGAATCATTGCTGGCTGTGATCTCTTGTTTCTGATGAAAGCTTGTTTGCATTGAAGGCTTCTTGCTTATCTGTCCATTTTCTACCCCAGGCAACTATTCTGGACATCCTTTACTCTTCGGATGTGCGATGAACACTGTGTGGAGTAGGAGGCATCAAGAGGCAGAGGACATGCCCTGAACCTGTGATATTAAATATCCCTGCATTTTGTCATCCTCACCTCTTTGACGTGATCAATGCAGATAACTGCACAGTTTAACAGCTCTCCTTCCGTTGTCTAGTCTATCTCATAGAAAATCTACAATTAGCACAACTGGCACACTTTGCTCTGGTACAGTTGATACTGCACAGCATTGTTATAGCTTAGGTAGATTTCTCGATCTGCCTGCTTTTAGCAGCACCTATGTGAAAGAGAAAGTTGCAAAAATAGCTTACTCACTTCCCATTCTAGATTTGTATTCAAAACAAGGCACCTTTAATAATTTATCTGGTGAGAATTTAAAGAGGGCCTTTAAGAAGAAAGTCATGCTGAAAGTAATCTTATAATCTTCAGGAATGACATGCAGCAACGATTTAAACAGTGAAACTATATAGACACATTTTCCTTTACAAGCTTAAGAAATTTGGTATTTATGCTTTCTTGAAAGGAAACCGTTTCTTTTTAAATCCTTAGAGTCTCTTGTATTCTTTGAGATGTTTAGAATATAATTAATCATTTGGAAAGTTATTTATTATGATAGTGACTGTCATGTAGAATGTATTTTGATAGTAAATTGAAAATTGAAGAGAATTGTCAGATCTGTCTTGCAAGTTGAATTTAGAAACATTTTATAATGTACTATATTGCAGAAATGATTGCTTTCTAATGACTTATTCTGAAAACAGTAAACATAAAGATTAGTCAGATTTAGAGACCTAATCTATAAAAACACTACTTGCACAGGGTGTGCATACTGTACATTTCTATCAGTTTGCGAGTAGGATTTTTACACTAACCTAACATAAACAGCCCCCCTTTTAACACTTAGCTTTTGAAAATTTGAGAAAATTTTAGAATTTTGGCAAATAAAGTATGTTAGTCACATTCATTATTGAATTATTTATGCAATGCTTAGGAAATTTTATAATCAAAGTTGCATCAAAGTAACTCTAATTAAATTTTTATTATTTATAAATCTGCTGCATACACAATTAGAACTTTACTAATTATTCATACCAAATATATAAAAAGTCAAACATACAAGGTTAATTTAGGGACAAAGGGTTGCCAAGAAAGTACCACCTACTCTTTCACTGGGACATTTAAACAGTGATAAGAAGGAACATGTAATTTTGTTTTTGACATTTTAAGTATGAAAACTTAAGAGTAATGAAAGGTCCTACTTTCTGTTACGAACCTTGCCTCCCTGAGCTCTAGGACCTGGATTTTTTTCCCCGAATATGTCACCCCATTGGTAGCTAACATTTATTGAGTAGTGAACAGGATGCCTTAATTTCTCTCCATTTTCATTTTACAAGTGAATGCGTGGAACCCCAGCAGGTTTCCTATTCCCGCCCAACTGCAGCAAGCCAGCAAATTTCTTAAACCTAAGATTCTTTGTGAAGAGATGTGTTTTGCAGCTTTCCAAGCCTCTGTCTTCCAGGCCAGGTAAGAATAAAATATTTAGACACAAAATCATGATTAAAAAAAAAAAGCTTTTCAGGGACTAAATTGTGGTTGATAAAACATTTCATATATCTATGGTATGAAATCTTCTTCGGGAGAATTTTTATATAAAACAAGGAGTCATTAAATGGTTGCTAAATTTATATCTCCTCCACTAAAGATGATTAATTATAATCCACTCAAATTATTTTTGGGTTCTCATAAGTAATCAAATGGCCATTGTTTAAGCCCATGGTTTTGTTTTTTCATTCTTAGCAGAGGAATAGTCATTAAAGTTAGTGTTTAACGTTCAAAATGAGGAGACACATTATCTAAAACTAGAGTTTCCATGATACTTTGAGAATTTAGAAATATTTTCAGTTTTAGTCGGGATAACCCAGAAAAAAATAAAATCATAAGCTAAGTTATGAATAGCAGATATTGACACAGATGCCCTATGAGAACCAGCAGTTGATTTCATTGATAATTTCCTGCCCAATGATGACTGCTCTAGAATCTTTCTTTAATTATGGAGAAAAGCTGATAGCACTTAATAAATACAGCTTAGTCAGCTATATTTCTTACATTTGCAGTAATAAACAATATTCAAATGTACTTGTTGCAGTAAGATAAGAAAGCAAAAACAAAAACCAGGAAAGCTATGACAAGGCACTGTATTGAGTAGATCCTTGATACATTTTTAATTGACTGTTTCCTAAAGATCCTTTTTGTCCCAGCAAGGTTCACTTGAGATTATCTTTTGGCAATATTTTTAAAATATAATATTCATCCTTGGTTTTTGCTAACACATTTAGATTTATGAGAAGCACAAACATGAGAAATCAACATTTCATATCAAAGTTGAGGACAGAAATAAGCTGAATTCAAGTGTGTAATTCGGAACTCACTGTCTGGATTGTACCACAGAGGGTGGGTCCATCAGACAATCCAGGACTCTGTTTATCACAGTTGAAGCTGTGCCTTTCATGTCAGGGTCCCATCAGCAAGGGGAGGGGGAGGAAGAGATAAGCCCATCAGCGAAATAGTATGCTTGAACAACAAACAGTAGCTTCCTGCAATCAAGCCCTGCTAGCATGTGGCTTGTTCAAATAAAAATTACTGGACTGGAGCCAAACAAGGACAAAGTAATTGATAATGTGGTTTTTCAGAAACCATCCATCCATCAAATATGTCAGTGCTTCATAATTCTTTATTTCCCTTCTGAACAAAGATCCTTAAAATTCATTGTGTGCACTTAAAAACAAAGTGTCCTTGTGCTGGTTTATAAAGATACTCTTTTACTTTGGGTTTGTTTTGTTATTTGGTTACATTCCCTCCCATCCTGCATATTTTTTTTTCCTGATAGTTGCTGGAAATTTCTGCCATTCTTACACAAAGCATCTTTGTGCTGTATCAGCTTGCATTTTCCTTGGATTGTGTTTGGATGTTGCCTTTCCCCTGACTTCAGCACTGGTGTATTGTAGCCATAGCCTTAGTAAGTAGACTGTAACAAACAGATTCACTGCCCTCTTGGTGTGCTGCATCCTATTAACCTGCCCGTGAGAAGCACTGCTCAGAGTGAGGCTCCAGAACTATTGCAAGCAGAGGGAAAAACTGATGAGGGAGCACTGGATCATACTTGCATTTGTACAAAACCATTAACAGTTACTACAAAAAGAAATGTTTCTCTTCTATAATCTTTCCAATAGGGATGAACATCTTTGAACTACAACTTGTAATTTATTTTAGGATCCTAAATAACAGTATGCAAAATTAATAATACCTTGTCTCACCATCAGTAGCCAACAGCAATGTCTCTCAAGTGAATGTCAGCAATATTTGCTCAGTTCCATCCTTGACAACTTTCACTTGAAACTCAGGCTTGCTAGAGACTTACTTTCGTGTATGTACACAATTTTGCCTTGAAAAACAGTACTGATCATGCTTTCAAATAGGTAAACATGTATGATATTTTCCAGTGATGTTTTAAACCACAATGATATTATTAAAATGTCACAGCTGAAAATATGGGAAAGCATAAATTTTCGGTGAGTGAAAATGTATTTGAAAGTTTTACTTACTATTTATTTGCAAATCAATGCAATTATCTAGTTACCTCTCTTGAGCACTTATAGTGCTATCAACCCTTGTCCTTCCAATAGCATCCGAATAATCTTTGGATTTTGTTGTTTGTGTCTTGGAACATCTTATCAGAAAGCTAGAGCCTTATGAGATGGTTGTCCCTCATGCAGGCAGCGAAGTTGTGGCCAAGAAACTATTCCTGTTACTTCTCTATCTCAGTAGAATTTGTTTTGAAAGGAAGCCAGGAATAAAAAGCAAAACAAAACAAAACAAAACCTTCAGTAGCAGACAGAACCTCTACATTATCAGATACATTCTGGAATTTTTATTTTTTACTTCTTTTGGCTTGCTCCAAAATAAAACTAAAAAATTACATGGGTAATAATATCAATTTTCACATGTAACCTCTTTTCTAACCTGTGGGATATTAATACATAGATAGCAAAAAAGAAGAAACTGTTCACCCCACATCTGAAGATTACAGAACAAAAAATACAGAAGTCAGAACTACTTTTGGTGGGAGAGATTATCAATTTGGAAATAGCAAAGGGGCCAACTTTGAAGTCAACATCCATGGTAGGTCCTTTGAAAATAAGACCTCATTTAACTTCTTTGGTAGCTTGAAAAATTACCAACAAATCAATGTTACAAATTCTGCATTTCAAATTACTCACCAAGAGAGACTAAGGGGGCAAGTAGAAATATTTTCTCCTTCCTTTGGTGAGTGGACTTTTCTATATGTCCATCTTGCCCATTGCTTCATGCTAGGCCTCACAGGAAGATGCACATGAAACAGGTATGTTTTTGTAATATATTAATGTACTTTAACCTTTTTTTTTGCTTCATATTTTTTAAAAACTGAATTCCTTCCCATTTTGCCAGAGGCACCCAAAAAGTGTACTTCAGAGAAGTTGAAGGTTATTACAGAAATGGTTCAGGAAAAAAAAAGCTAGCATTCAATTTCTGATATCCAGAAGAGGACTTTGTCATCACAAATCAAAGTTGTCTTAACAACCAGGTTTTGTCAGAATAGGAAAGATTCCTTGTATCACACCCAGAGCGAGGCATTGCGGGCTAAGTTTTCTTCCGTGGTAACCTGCCAGGGAAGTTTGTTTGGAGGTAGCAGGAAGATGTAACAATGAGAATCAAAAACCCTGAAGCCTGTTCGTCTTTGTCCGTGGGATTTGGGTGTAGGGAAAATGGGAAGGTTGGTGGTGGTCAGGTCACCTGCTTCTCTTGGGCAGGAACCCATGATAGATGTGTAAACTGTTCCACTAATTTCATGTGCTTGTACTTTTATATTTTCTATCCCTGAATTCAGGATGAGTCAGGGTATGTCAGAGTGTCCTTAGCATTATTTTCTTTCTCAGTGGTGCTTGAGATGGTAGGTGTTAAAATCAATGGTGTTTTATATTCAGTGAAATGTATGAAGAACAGAAAAGGAAGAGAAAGGATTTCCATGAGTTGTCAACTAACTCAGCAATCAGAAAAAGCCAGATAAAAGTAAGCTCCCACGTAGCCTAGCGAGAGGCCAGCAGCAGACTCTTGAGTGGCTCCTTCCTGTTTGATTGTCTGAGGTATGAATGAGACCTAGACTTTCTAAGGAGATTCTGGTGAGAGCTTTCTAGAAAGAGGGTAGCCATCAAAGATTCCAGGGAGACCATCCCACTAGGATCTATTGGGATTCCTCATCAACATCAAAGAAAAATGTGAGACCAAGTCATTATAACTCCAGTTCAAACTGAAAGAGAAAACTGGCCATTCCCTACACAAGCCCAGGCTCCAGGATGAGCTCCAGCAGAACCTCCTGGAGGGAGAGCCATCACACCTTCCATGGCCTCTAGTTCCCTCCCCCAGGGGTCTTTTGCAGTAGATCCACAAGGCTAAAGTGAACTCTGCTGTCCTGGGCCATGATCCCCTCAACTACCTGCATCCTGGACCCCCTCAGCCATCATAAATCTGCTGTCCTGCACCCCTTGAACGACTACAAAAACCATCCAAGTCTCACCTCTTCCACTGAACCCAGAGGCTATGTTGTAGAAAAATGAAACAAAAACAGAAACCCAAGACTGAACATTTTTTCCAAACAGGCAAAGTGTTTAAGTAGAATAATTAAAATTAAGTGAACAAGATGAAATTTCCTACATTATCACAATACATTCAGGGTTTTGTCTTTGCTGCCCAGTTAGGTATTTTATCAGTTATTAGAAAAAAATTAAAGAAACTCAAAATTCTATCAATATGTGATTGAAATGCAAATGAATGTTGACTCTTGGACTCCAGATTAATGAAGTAACTGCCCTCAAGTTGTCTAAAAGCTGAAGACGGATCATATGAGAACGTTCATAAATACAATATGAGGCACCATTAACATAAGAGTCTGTGAGAGATAGACCAGGTCAACTTTCATGCATAAATCAGCAAATTGTGATCCTATGACCTGCATTATAATATTAATGGTGTTTACCCTGACCCAAGAGATGCTGCTGTTATTGATACCACATCTTAATGCTGTCCTCTGATCCTTGTTTAGAAAGGAAGCAGGTTTTATGGGTAGATTATAACCCTTTAATGGCAACAATCAGATACATGTGAAAGCCAAAGTATGAACACTGGGATAAGTTATTGTCTGCTTTTTGATGGGTCATTTCAAGAAATTACATACAACAGTAGAAGGAAAAAATAAGATGTTAGGGACATATGTGTCTTAGTTACTTATTTCCTTAATGAGCCCAAACATCTGCTGTTCAAAGTTAAAAGGAAGAAAGGTATATTTAGCTCACAGTTTGTAGAGGTTTTAGTGCATAATTTACTGGCTTCAAGGCAAGGTGGGCACATGGCAGAGGGGCAACTGTCATGGCAGAAGACAGTAAAAGCAAAAAGAGAGGAGAGAAGACTCTGTCCCTTATATCATATGCAGG